TAACAAAGTTATTGACTAATTTGCTTGAAGTATATTCACACAAAAGCCAAGGGCAAAAGCCAGAGCACATCTCCACTGCTTTTAATCATTGAGAAGGTAGATTCTTCATCGAGATTTGCTGGCTGAGCTACTGATGTGAAAAAACACATCCTTGAGAAAACAGAGCAGAAACCCAGAAGGCAGAAGCTAGTAGCAAGGCCAAGATCCTATAGTGAGTCATGGAGCATGGAGCTGATTGAAAAAAAGAGGAGGGTATTGTTCTCTCAGTAGGACACTTTTGTGGTGTTTGCCTCTGTTTTGTGCTGTTTTGTTTTCCTAAGGGAAGAAGAAGGAGAAATTGAACAATGATCTCATCTGGAGGTTGATTACAATTAAGAGTTCGTCAATGTTCAATCATAGTCATTCATTATTAGCACTAACATAGTGAACGAACAGGCTCAAAAGAGTAAGCTGGCACATGCAAATTGCAGAAGATGAAAATGACCTGCAGTCAGGGGAGGGTTGACGGCTAAGGTCGATGGATTTTGCTGATTTCCTCAGCGAAATCAGCCAATGGCCTGACCACTTGCTTGTTCCTTCTTGAAATATTGCTCTATTGATTTGAGAGAGAGAGAGAAGAGACACAGAGTTTAGCTTCAGACACTTACATCAGTTAGCAGCCAGACCTGGATCAGACCAGAGGGGTCTGGAAGGAAGTCCAAGGGTGAGGAAGTCCAGCCAGGAGCCCAGCTATCTGAGCTATCACTGCGGCCTCCCAGGGTGCACATTAGCAGGATTCAGGGGCAGGAATCAGGACTAAAGCCTGGGCACCCACGTTCGGGAACTTATGCTCAATGCCCTGAATGGTTGGGAAGGTTCTTCCTGATCTGTGGAAGATCACCGCATCAGGCAAGGCAACACATGTTATATTTTCTTGTGTTCAATATTAGTCTCTTCTCTAGTGTAAGTTAAAAAGTTTTCCCCCCAACATGAGACAAGGGATTGCTTGTTATCTCTAGTTAAGGCTGCAGGTGAGAATGAGGTGAAGACAAAGATACCAGGCTCAGAAACAGGAAATATCTGCCTTTGAAACCAGGCAGCTGGCCCCATCCTTCAGGAAGGGAGGGACCCAGGCTCCTCTAGAGAAAGGCATGCACTGACTTGGGGAACTGGGTTCAGAGAATCTCCATGACCAGGGGCCAATCTCACTTAATCCACACTGTTTTACCGTGTTCACCTCTTCACCCGCTCACCTCCGTTTTGATATAACTGCCTCAGTTATGCGTTTCCCAAGAACCTTTACAATTTGCAAATGAAAAACAGAAATATCAAAAACTCACTGGTTTTTAAATCGACAAGTCCTTCACCTTCACGAGACAAACACGTAGAATATTTTAAAGATGTATTTATTTGCAAGGGGCCGAGAGAGGGAGAGAGAGGAGATATATATCTTTTTTTTTTCTTTTAAACATATTTTGTTTTGCTTTATGATATAGTTCCATAGGCTCTGGGGTTGCCCATGCCCTTCCCCAGGGTCCCTTCCCCTTCTCCCCAACTGATTTCCCGTCTAGATTTATAACGGATGTCCTTCATGAGAGGAGATATATATGTGTCTTGCATCTGCTTGTTCACTACTGAAACACAACAGCCAGGGCTGGACCAAAGCTAAGCCAGGAAGTGCCTGATTACTACCTTCCGAGGTGAATTAGCAACAAACTGGGCCAGAAGTAGGGTAGCCAGGATTTGAACTCATACTGATGTGGGTTGTGGGAACCCGTAAGAGGTAACTTGACTGGCTGCACCACCACACCCTAGAATATGGACCTATTTTTTTCCAAGTAAAATGTCTAGTTGTTGTCTAGTTGTCTAGTTTAGTTTGTTCTATGGCTATTTTGCCTTATAAGAGAATTTGTTCTCTGTTCCCAATGAATTATCAACTCAGGCCAAATTTCCTCTCTTCAGCAGACTTCCTGCTCTCTTATTGTAGAAGCAAAAGTTATGTGGAAAACACCTGAGTAAATTTACCATGACTTTTTAAAAATGTACTTTATTTTTGTTGGAAAGGCAGATTTTTAGAGAGAAGAAGAGACATGGAGAAAGATATTCTCTCTACTGGCTTACTCCCCAAGTGACCCAACGGCCAAAGCTGAGTTGATCTGAAGCCAGGAGCTAGCAGCTTCTTCAGGGTCAGCCACAGGAGTGCAGGGTCCCAAGGCTTTGTGCCATCCTCAGCTGCTTTCTCAGGTCCCAAGTAGGGAGCTGGATGGGAAGCAGAACAGATACAGCAGGAAGGACACAGATGGGCTCCTATATTGGATTCCAACAAAGGCAAGGTGAGGATTTAGCTACGCAGCCATTGCTACAGGGCCCATGTCAACTTTTAAACAACTGCGTGCAGCGAGGCTTTTGAAAGATAAAGAAATTCTGAGACTGGAAAGTGAACAGATTGAACAGAGCTTGTAAAGCGATGCAAAATAGGAAAATTTATAACCAACCTAAGGCAAGATTTGCTGTGTAAAAATACATTGATCATTAAAGATGAAATATACACAGTTTAATATTGTTAATTCTGAACAAATGGAAACACCTTCTGGTATGTGAATTGTTCTTGTTTCTGTACTTTCACATAAAAAAAATGATTTTAACAAGCATACAAAAATATTCCCCACAGCCCACAGACAAAAACTAATCAGAAAAGCAATGCGGTATTATTTCTAGGAAGATGTGATTGTTGCTCTCTGAGAAGGTCCATCAAACTCATTCCATGCCGTAGAAGTGTATTTTACAACCTTCTTCCTCTTTGCTTCTTGTTTTTAATATTCTGGTAAATTCAGTGTGTTTGCGCGGCATTACCTGCTCACAGCATTCCTTTTCACGTTTGGGTGAGTCTGAACTTACCTAAGTGATGTACATGTGCTTTCTAAATGGGAATGCTAGTGTGCCAGTTGCTAGTGGCACCAACTGGCAAGGAATCCTGTCTTCTTTCCCAAGGCAGCAGGGTATGTGCCACACCTGGCCACACACCCTCTGAGGGTTTTCCTAGTGAGAATTGTCCTGCTCTGCCACCATCACACTTTATTATCTGCAGTGCACAGATAGGAAGATGAAAGGCAGGTGCCTGCTATGCAATTTTCCTGATACCCCATGAGGTCTGAACACTTCAGGATGGGCTCCTGCTCAGGCCAAGTCAGTTTTACACTCAAAAAACTTCAAATCTCCTTTTTTTTTATTGTCTTTCAACACACAAATAGGATAATGCATTTGCAGGATGGAAGAACACTTAGAAAGCAAAGCAAAACAAAACAGAAGCCCTTTTCCTTAAAAGCTGCTGTCTTCCCAGGATACCATTTTCACATTAAATAAAGACACAAAGAGTGAAGTGCGCTTAAAATCTCCCACATACGCTGGAAATACAATCTCCAGAAATGCATGCATGCAATAAATAGCACAAACAAAGGCTGTAAGTCATCATTATGGGAAGATGGAAATTAAAGCACCGAAGACAGGTAATCATGAGTCAGGGCAGGTGCACATCAGGGCAGCATTGAGAAAACAGGAGTTTATTTTTCGCAAATGTGTTTTTGCTCTTAAGTCTTTTTTGATTTTTCTTTTTTTTTTTTTGTCCCCATGATAAAACCAGTAAGTTGCCTACTTTATTTCAACTGCAATACATGCCTTGTTTAAACATGATGAAATTGGGTATCTGTTTCCACAGATTCCTTCAAGTCTTTTGGGAATCTGAGGTAGCTATGTATCAGGGTTTTGTCCTCAGGTTACCAGGACAATTGCCAAACACATTTCCAAGTGCCAGGCTTTACAAGGTGCTTAAGATAGCCTGCCCGATTACCTGAGTTCCAGTTTGGCTCGCAATGAAAGCTGGAAAAATCACTGAGGAATTTTTCAGTGTTGCAGTTCGGGCTGTTACAGACCTTATCTAATAGTTGATTACAGTCAGAAAACAGAGCACATTCTAAGCCAAGATTCCACACCATCCCCAACCTTGTCTCTAGCAGAACGGCCACTTTGAATTCTTTTGCCAATTTCATACATTTCTAACAGCCAGAGGATTGTTTCTTAAATCTGATTTTTATGCCAGCAGCACAATTTCCTCCTCCGTTAAGTAGGACGGATTCATCCCAGAAGCAACAATGGCTGCTTCCCTGCCTAACTCGAGCATGACAGATTAAGCTTCATGCAGACCAGTAAATGCCATCTCCCTACTCTAAGACTGTGCCGAGGTAAATGAAGCCAGCCGACGGGCCACTGCCTTCAGGGGCAGCCAGCCCAACAGGCCTGATGGAGGGAGCTGCGTGCAGACTGGGACTGGGCACTAGCTGGAATCAGGTGACATGCCTCATTGAGGGTGTTTCCAGGCGAATTTCTCGCCTCCAAAAGGGGCCGCTTCAGGATAGCTGTCTTGTCCAATGTTTGACAGAAAGCAGGCACTTTGCACATGTTTGCCGAATAGCAGAGAGAAACATGGGAGCCGAGTAACGGATGCTTTTCGGATCTTGCCAGAAAAAATGCTGTTATTCCTGGCAAAGTGGTGTGGTGACACTGACTTAAAGAGTAGCTAAGGAAAAAAAATGGAATTAACAATTAACGGAAGAGTGAATTGGTCCACTACATGAGAAAGTGATTTTTGACTGGCAAAATGGCATTCGCAATATATACTAGACTTCTAGACACTCTTTAGGGGCCTGTGCGTGGCATGAAGAGAAAGAAACTTGCTCCCAGAATTATGAGGAAAACCATTATTCGGATAGCTGTGAGGGACAGCTTAAAATGCTATCAAGTTTTTGCTCCTCAGATATCAGACATAGAACTCTGCAAGCATTCCTGGGCTCTTTTCATTCTCTTGACACAGAAATAGAATCTGCCTATGGATGTCAGAAACAGACCGAGCCCAACAGCACAAAAGCATGACTTGTACTGTCCTCGCATCTGTGTAATTGGAGGCTATTATACTTGACTCTTTGGCAACTCCATGAGTGTATTTGTCATTTATTCCCTTTCTGCAGGTGCAAAGAAGGCTACCAGGGAGTCCGTTGTGATCAATTTCTGCCGAAAACTGACTCCATCTTATCGGATCCAAGTAGGTCAAGCTTTTTTTTTCTTCTTCTTCTTCTCTCTCCTGCTGGATGTAGGCAGTCCTTTCCCCCGGCAATGGTTATTAACTCAGCTGAGGGCTGTATTTTGCCCCTGTGGCTTTGGGTCTCTGAAAGCTGCTGAAGTCAGAGGCTGATGACAGATGTTCATGTTCAAAACATGCTCCATGTTAATATGTCTCACTCCTCTGCAGCCATGGGGCTGTCTTCCAGTTCCCACATTTACTCTCTGCTATGACCCCCCAGTGGGTCCTCTTCCTACCCTGCCAACTCCAGGACACAAAGAAGGCTAGAAAGAAATAACCAACCCTATTATTTATCCAAAAAGTGTTGTGAAAACTACGGTATCATGTTGGGGTTTGCACTTTGGCCGGTAATTTGTGACAGTGCTAAGCCTGTGAATGTTTACTTATTGAAGCGTGGAAGTACATAATCTCACATAAGAACTTTTCAAAAATCTTTCGAAGTCTCAATTTGAGCCACACAATTTGCATATCAGCATTTTCTGTCCTAAGGACAAATTATTTTTTTCTCCATTATGAAAGAAGTTAATTTGCCACTGAAAAAAATATTCCCAGTCATTACTTTAGATTATATATGGAGTCAAAGTAACTTTCCATACTAAATATCCCAAAGCTGGTCAAATGTGAAATTTTTACACAATCTGTAAATAGTCAGCTCTTCTGACAGCTGCTACAATTGAATTGCTACTAAAGTGAGGAGGGATTTTATTGAATCGGCAGTTTAGTTCAGTGAGGATAATGACAAGCAATTCTAAATCCTAAAGGCAATGCTACAGCTTTCTGAATAAGGAAGCGCACGACACAGACTTGAGCAAAATATTCTGCATTGACTAAAACAAAAGTTGCCCTGCGTTTTAGTGTACGGTGACCATGCGTTGAACAAACCCTGCTACCTTTCAGTAACTTTTTAGAATATATCTTTGCATTCTGCTTCCATCTGCTTTTTCCATGTAAATGGGAAGTGCCTTAAAAAGCCAAAGTTTCTCTTTGATGTATTTGTTTGGTATTGGCTGGGTAAAGGCCTCTGTTCCAGGCAGAAGTGTAACTCCTCTGGAGGAAAGCTGCATCCATGCATGTGCAAAAGCTAGCAGCCAACCCGAGATCTGTGCCTTAGAATGTGGGCGGCTCCAATGCTGGTGGCAGGAGCCTTTTGCATGTTGTCTATGGCTCAATGTTGTCCACTTCCTAAGCTACTATTGGAAGCGTATCGTTGAAACATCAGGAACTTTGCAAACTGAGGCCTTTTCCCCTCTCCCCCTCCTTTCCTCCTTCCATTGTTTCTCTTTTCTTCATGTTTACTGTTGCTTTAACTTCTCCTTTTCTTTTTATTTCTTCCTTGTCTCTTTTCTTTTCCCCCTTTTCTCCTTTCTTTCCCTGGTTTTGTTGTTTACTCTCTACCTTTTAGGCTTCCTTCCTCCCTGACTCTATTCTCCTTTTTCCTTCCTTCTTTCATTTTTCTTCAGAGTGTCTATGGAGTGCAGGATACTAGTCAAGGCTTTGCATATGGCACAGCATGGCTATAATAATCTCTTTAAACAAACTACTCAAACATTGCTATTCTGTTGAATATCAAGTCTGACACTGCAACAGTTGGGAATGAGGCTGCCCTATATATTAGGCACTTTCCCATGGGGAAAAGTAAACCCATATTCACAGTGGCCCATCCCTGAAAACTTAGGCCTTTGATGCATAAAAATAGTTTATACAGTTTTATTTGTTGTAGTAGCAGCATTTAAATATTCCATAAATAACCAACAACGGGGTTATGTTTAACAAAATGTCATATGGTACATCTACCATTCTCAGTTAAATATCTATTAAAATGACAGCTGTATGAGATTGTGTCTATTACATAAAATCACAGAATACATTATTTGTATACAAGATTTCAAAAAGGATAGCCCTTTGTCCAAAAGGGTGGTGAAGAAACACAATAAAAATGCTCAAAATGGATTTTCAGTATTCAGGTTGTGGAATTATATGAAGTCCTTTCCTTCCTCCCCTTGTTTTCTGTAAATAGCATATTACAATGTGAGAATGAATTATGCCAAATACATTGAAGTGGAAAAATAGGAACTCATGGGTTTGTCCCTGATAGAAAGTTTAAATGGGGTGGGGGTTGGGGGCAGGTGGCTTCCATTTTTCTATGCATGTACAAATGCATAGCTTGTCATAGCAGTGTTTTCTGAGCATCTGTGAGGGGCTGGCTCACCTTTGTTAACACAAAGGATGCAGAGTCTGAGCACCCCACACAGCATGAGGGAGACACGCATGTATAAGCATGAACATGGATGAATGTGGTGTCCCATTTAGCCCTGTGTGACCCTGGTCGCTTGATTTGGCTCCTAAGCATCAAGCTTTCTTTCTGAGCAACTGCATTAATCCCCCTAGGCATCTATCGTACCAACCCTGGCAAAGAATCAGTATCTGGTAAATGTCAGCTCACCCACCTTGCTCATGATTGTAACTGTGACTCATAGGTATTTAAAGGTTGTATGTACCGTGCTCTGTGCCCTCGAGCGCCTCCTAAATCATGTCACCAACCCCTCACAATCACCGCCTTGCCAGCAGTGGACAGCAAATGGGCCAGATTTCATGGATGAGGACATGAGACTGCAGAGATGCTAAATAAACTTGCTGAGGTCACGAGGCTGTTTAACGCTGGATCCTGACTTGCATGTGGAGTAAATCTAGACCTCGAGAGCCCCCTGATGCGGGCTCTTTCTCCCCTCCCCTAGAACCTTTCCTCCTCTGGTTATTTTCCACAGGACATTTATCACTCTAAATTTCACTGAATGAAACTCAATGACCTGCGGCAGACATTATTCTAAGGAACAATATTTGCACAATTTTCATATCTTAATGCAGCAACTTGAGCTTCCATGGAGATTTAAATCCCTAATGAAATTTCCTTGTCAAAATTCTTGCTGAAGGATTGTTTAATTTGCTGCCCATGATATCTTTGGAATGACTCTGTGCTCAGGAAATAAGCTTCCCTTCAACACCCTCTCTCCATTTTTCATCTTGTGCCCTCCCCCCACTTGCTTCTCTTCTCTTCTCCCTCCCTGTTTTCCTAATGCATGCATGCTGCTTAGGGAATTTCAAATTAACACGGAGCTAGAAGCCTCTGCTGTTTGCTTCTCCCTCAAGCAGAGGAGAATTTTCAGAAATGTGCATTTTTGTGAAAAAAAAAAAAAACAACAACAACATGAAATCAAACCTCAGATCACATTTGTGTACTTGGAGAAATGGTGTGTGAATGCCCTTTGGGTAATGTTATCATAAACTTAGGCTGAATTCCCAGACTCAAAACCTGTGTCCTATGCATGCAGCTTTTGATTTGTCCCACAAGTCACATTGAGAAGAATAAGCAGAAGCTGGCAGGCCATGAAGTGAGTGCATTTTGGTGATGGTCAAGAGAACGTGGAGGGGCCAACACCAACCTCTGTATCTGCATGATGCTGTGGGCAGCCCTGTCCATCAATAGCAACTGGCAGCGTTCAGGAAGCCTTGTACTCTTCTTGACTGTTTCTAACTCATTGCTTCTGAACAATCTTGCTCTTTTAATGCTATAGTTCCTTGCCCTCTGTTCAGTTCACAATCATGGTAAGGGTTTAGGGTTCCTATCACACCAAACCAAGATTGTGTGGCTCAACTTTCCTGGAGTAATCAAGAGTTCAAAGAATAAATCCAGCATAGCATGTGATTCGAGCTCCAGAGAGAGCATCAGGAAGAAAGATGAACCAGTTCCTGTGGCCCCACAGGAGTCCCAGAGTCAGCTAATGCAACCAGTGGGGCAGCGTCCCCTTCTTTGTATACCAAAAAGCCCTTGGGAACACTCCTGCCCTTGGTGTCTGAGGCGTCAGGCCTTCTGATCCTGAAGCTTCCCCAGCACACTTGAGAATAGCCAGAAAGTTCCATGGTGGAGGCAGGTGCCTGGGCAGCAGTTTGCTATGCAGACTCAAGAGGCTTGCTGAAAGAGAATTGTAAGGAAGCTAACTTTCAGGAGATCAATGCTCTACTCTGTTGCCTATCTTGAATTGTGTAATACATAGAAGCATGTGTGTTCCACATGTCAAAAATAAGTTGGGAAGGTATAATGAAAGTACAAGAATCAAAGAATCTGCTTTTCATTTTGGTTCTCATTTCACTGCTCTTCGCAGTGAAGCCTTATGCAAGTCACAATGTCATGGAGCCTTCATTTCTGTATCAGTAGAAGGATTCGCTGGCCATCCTGGTTACAAGTAGATGCCAACCCTCAGTGAAAAGAAACCAGGCCTTGTAAGTTTGAAGTGGGGATCCCGGGGGACAGCCAAAGTAATACGTTTGTTTATTCACTCATGCATTTATCTCTTCTCCCCAAGTAGTTAAGCATATATAGTAAATACCATGTTGTGCAACCAAGCAATGATAATAATATTCCGGGGTCTTACTTGGCTCTAGCATTTAGAGCAAAACACTGTTAGAGATAGCGGCTCAGTGGTTTGAGTTGCTGCCTACAATGGCAACATCCCACATCAGAGCACCTGTTTGATCTCTGCCTACTCTGCTTCTGATCAGCTCTCTGCTAATGTGCCAGGGAAGGCAGCCAAAGATGACCCAGGTGCTAGGAATCTTGAAACCCACGTGGGGGGACCCAGATACAGCTTGTAGAGTCCTGGCTTACAGCCATTTGGAGTTTCAATCAGTAAATGCAAGATCTCTCTCTGACTCATTGTTTTACTCTGTATTCCAAATATAAGTAAACCTTTAAAAACGGAACATTATACACCAGGCAAATTGGAAGTTTCTCTCTCATTATTTCCAATGCTAGGCTCTGTGTTAGGTGAGGGCTCTTGCTCTATGGATAGCTTCTTCCTAGGGTGTCCTGAAATGATGAGGAGCCATACATTTCTCTGAAGCCTCTTTTGCAACGGCATGCATCTCATTCATGAGGGCCTCATGACCTAATCATCCCAAAGGCC